TCAATCATTTGAAGACAGAGAAAAATGACACAAATTGACAGAACTCTTTAGGCATTCTAGAACAGGAGCACAACTATTAATACTTCAGTAGGATAAAAGTGAAGTACCTAGAAGCAGAGTCTTACCTTGATCAAATGGTTTACCCGGACTCCATGTACGAAAATAATCATCCTGGAGAGGGAGAAACAAATTTAGTAAAATATAAGGAATCAATGTATACACAAAAAACTTACAGTATCATGAAAGACAGAAGATGTATACCAACCTCTACTTCCTAGAAAAGGCAAGCAGGAAAATAAAGAAAAAAAAAAAAAAAGGAGAGAAAAAGATTACAGTTATCATAACGGGACAAATTATTCATTTGCACTCATAAAGTAAAAATGCTATTCAAAAATGTTACTCATTAGTATTTAAAGTAGAAAACTTATTTCTCACAGTACCTATATAGGTAATGCTTTTAACACTGCTATCAAAATGTTGATTTTCCTGTACTTCACCTTCTAAAATATTGAAAAACTTAGTCACATTTTCACTGAATGAGTTTTCAAAAAAAAGCTTAAAGTTACCATCAATAAATACAGCTATCCTAAAGAATGATACATAAATTTTTGAAAAGTATTTTGTTATGTAGCTTTCAACTGCATCAGTAAGATCTTCCATTAGGTAAGTCTAATTAGCTGTATTTTCTCCAAATCATCTTACAAACATAAAATATCTTCCTAATTGTGTCATCAGCTGTATTAGGCTACAATTTCAAGAAGGAAAAACTTGAATTAAATAAATTGCAGAAATAAATTACAAATCCAAAGACAAGGCAATAAATTGATCTGCACATCTCCGATAATACATGGCACAAGAAAATAACTGGAATTGTTTATTATTACGTTGTAATCTAACAATATTCTGTAGAACAAAATAGTTAAAAGACTGTACCAATCCTTTTACAATTGCATAAGTTAAGCCTCACAAACTGCAGTGGGTGTACTGTCACATACAGCAGTTCCATCTACCTTGCTAAAAGACCTCTGTAAAGGAACCTCTATTTATACAAAATTTAACTACTGGGAAAATGTGAGTCTCATGCAGTTCACAAAGCCATAATCATAACTTAAAAATGATCAAGCATCAAACATATCTTTACAGGTAGAGCACTCTTGTGGAGTTTTAACAGGTAAGTATTTTTACATCAAATTAAATGAAAAAAAAAAAAAACAAAAAACCAACCAACCAACCAACCAAACAAACAAACAAACTCCCCAAAAAATCCAACAAACAGTGCTTGCAGCCTAAACCATATTTCACTGATGATGTTTTATTTAGTGAAAACGTTGTTATGGAAATGTGTGCTTTGAAAGAGAAAGAAATTAGTAGAATCCAGAAGTACAAAATAAACTGTATTTCTGTACCGATATTTACACATTCCTATACTCTGATGCTGCACAGATTAATAATCTATGAATCTAGGTATGCTATTTGCTTTTTTAATTATTTTTTAGGTGATAAAACATTTTTTCTAAAGTAATAAAAAATTTCACAGGCATATCAACTTTTGTTAATCACACAAGAAATAAGCAGAAATTATGATTATGATAGTGTTTTCCAATTATTACTCCTAATAGCAATTATGGAGATGTTATTCCTGCAGTGGTGTTCTGAACAGAGTGGAACGAGCTGTACCGCAATGCTGTTCCATGAACACCACCACAGTGGCAAAAGTTACAATTCTTGAAAAAACATCAAAGTGGTAGATTCTCTTTCTATTTCTACTAAATCAACAATGTTCACTCACAATGAGCCCATGCAGAAAATAGTGAAATATTAGAATAACTAGAACATATATCAGAACAAAAGTACAGTCATTTTGAGCGAGAAAAATCCCTTCTATGGGAAAGCAGCCTGCATTTTGCTTAAGGAAGAATGTACAAGTGTGGTTTGTATAAATTACATGTTCTCAAGTTGGTCTCAAACCAACCAGAAGGTAAATCAATTCTTGTTCATTTCTATACTGCAGACAACTCCACAGATCCCAAATATAATACCCCTCAGGCTTTTATAGAAGTCTGGCTGACTTCTGTCTACAAAGCAACTTCACACCTTTCTTGTTACCCTTTTCTGAATCTCTTCCAAGTCTATTTTCTTGATAACTAGAATTGTGCAGAGCATTCAAGATGAAGCAGCATTATGGATCTCTACACAACTTCTACAACACTATTTTGTTCTCTATTCTTCTCCCCATTATGTCTACCTCTCTGCTGTCTTTGTAGGTTAGGGGAGAGCGTTTTTGTTCTTTTTAACTGTAGTATAATTTCAACAGATTATGGTTTGCATGGAACCTTCTATCTTAAATACAAATACCATATATACCTATACTGATTTTTCTAAAGAAGTAATTTTTCAAATCATCTGTTACTTCAATAAAATCCATTATTGAATATGTTTAACTAAATTTCTATGTGCCTCTACAAACAAAATTGCTTAGAATTGATTATCAGATTAAGTAAGGGTTGTTTAGAATTGATTTTCAGATTAAATAAGGAAATTGCTTCAATAAATTGTAGTTCCACAATTTTACAAATATTCCTAAAGCTCTTTACCCTATCACATGGCTTCCTGTTACACTCAAACCTTTTCTAATCGTCAGTCAGTAAGCTCGATTATAATAATGTTCAATATCCTCTGCAGAATGTAATCGAGATCATAATATAATTTACAAAGCCTCATTTTCATAATTTTAACATAAAAACCAGAATGAATGAATACATGGTTCTACCTCAGTGAAGGCTGAGTAGCATCACAGCATCTCTAGGTAAAGTATCCTTTAATAATCTATAAATGCAAAAAGCAATGTCTCAGTATCTCGGGACAGAGCCTCTGTCTTCTGAACTTCTTCAGGAGCTTCCTTGCCTTTGTTCCAAACATGTTAAAGGGCAAGTTGTAAAAGTATATAGAATAAAGTCATAAATTTGTAACAGTAACCATATGTGACGGTTTGGACTTGGTTCCCTGCCAAATGCCCGAAAGCTAGGATAGCAGCCCCCTTCTCCCCTTCTTTCTTTCCTTAGGTTAAAGGAGAAAGAAACTATAAAAATTAAAGAATCCACAATTAAGCTGCTTATATAAAAATATATCTATATTTACGCAAATTACAGTTATATACAGTTAAGATGCTATATACACAGGAAAAGGGGGTCCACCCCCCGCAGGGATAGGGAAAGGGAAAAAAGGGGACAAAAGGGAACAAAAGGGACACCAAACAGGTATACTAGATCGAACTATACTAATAACTAACAAAACAGATCTCACC